GAAGAGAGTGAAAAGATAACCATTGAGGAGGAGATTGAGAATCAGGTAATAATTAGATTTACTGGAAACAAGAAGCTATCCTTATGGCTAAGGAACAATGTTCCATGCATATCCTTTCTCTGTGATAGAATGTTTATTCTTATTCAAGTTTTAAAAGTAATTTATTGTCATGTTTTGTATTAGGCTGCCTAACTAAATGTTTCTGGTACAGCATGCAAAAATAACAACTTCAACACCTATGACTCCTGAGCTGTTTATGGAATGGAAGAAGAAGAAAATGGCGGAAAGGGATGCTGGTTTGGCTGCACAGAAGGCTGAAAGGGCTAAGAATGACCGTATGAGGTATGTCCTCTAGGTGTGGATCTATAGCTTTGTTTGTTGGGTTGTTATTTGCTAACATGGTGTTCTCTGCTTTTTGTTTCAGTGGACGTGAACTATTTAATTCAGATGCTAGTTTATTTGTGGATGATGCTGAGGCATATGAGAAATACCAAAGAGAGGAAGAATCTGATGCTCCAGAACAGAAGGTAATCCTTAGTTATCAGCTGTACATCTCTTTAAGCTCTTGGGAGATTCATTTACTACTGGTGGAGGCTTATGCTAGTAATAGAATGTAATCATTCTTTTCTATGTACTAGACAAAAGTAAGAGCCGAGATAGTCTTCAAGTGGATTTCCTTTTATGTTTTTCCCTGATCAATTTCAAATTTGTGTCATGTTAGCTGATAATGGAGATCTCTGTTTTCCAAAGTGGCATGAAACAATGATATTTCTGGAAGAAACAAATACTAAAAAGCAACTTGCAGATGACTATGATAGCTGCTCATCTGCTATTTCTACAATTACCTCATTACTAGCATCTGCACCACCTTGCCACTACTATTTTTTGACAGACCATGCCATAACCACCAGCCAACTTCTATTGGAAAACATCACACTGCTGTGAGGGTTTCTAATACAAAACATTTGCTGCTTTATTTTGAAAAACACTCATCTTTGAATGCCTGTTTTTATATCTGATATACTTGCACCACCTACATTGAAAACCTGCCCTTCACTTAGTTGGATAGTGTGGGTTGGAGACCTGATGTGGCGAATAAAAATTACCTTTGCTTGTACAATTTGTGGTTTAAGTTTTTCATTTTTAGAAAATTTGTGTCCTTTCCAATCTCTTGAATTGACTGTCAATTTTGAAAATATCTTGCATTGTCATATTTTGAATAGTCTGCTTTATTTTGTTGAATTGGAATCGCTTAGCATAAAAATACAAGTTCATAGTCATTGTCTTTGAAACTAATATACAACTGGCATGTTGAAATCAGACTGAAAAGGTGTAGCTGACTTTGTCTTGTTCCGCATATTGAAATTCAGGTTAATAAC